ACTCTGTTATCCTCAACAACTCATTTATATTCCTTGGATTCCAGCTTCTTTCTTTGTGGAACAAAAACAATACAACTTAACTTTTGTTATTCTAGCTATTGCACAGAAATAATTAGGCAGTGTCTTTAGCATCCTTAATGTTTCTTTTATATAGGGCCTAAGATAATATAAGAGTCTTAATATTAAAGTCTCATAAATAATCCACTACTATTCATGGCATTGACTAGTCCCCAGTTTCTCTGTATTTTCCTAGAATCTCAGATATACTGATAAACAGCCCAAAGCTTTTAATCTTTTCTGTTAACAGTTTGTAACTTTTCCGGGTTAGATTTTATTAAGACATTAACTGAACATACATGCTACTATCTTTGGCCAATAATTAAGGACTTTCTTTCCATATGTGGAATTCCTTGTATCTATCTCCTTCCACAATTTCCTTAAACACCAACCCTCCCTTTCCCAGTCATGGAAGACCTCCTGTATAGCTATACTATAATACTCTGTGTGCAGTTCTTCTGCTTGTGTATACTTACAAAATATATGGCAGTTTGTTCATCCCCTATTATTGTCTTCAGAGCTGGCACCATTAAACTTCCACTTATAGATTTAACAGTCCCTGAGCAAAGCAGGGTGGAGGAGGTGGAAGCAGAGTGGGGGTGAGGGAGGAGGGAGCATTCATTTTAAGCTTTTGCTAATTTTTGTATTGTAATTACTTACATCTTGGCGAATTTAAAGCTACCAACATAATGTTACTGAGCACAGAGGTGGGAAGAGATGTAGAGCAGCACACATTTCTGTCATACAGATACGGTAAACATAAATGCCCTCACGAGCACAGATAATAGTATGTAGTAAGATGAGTAGGGAATGATGAGTTTTAAGTATTCTTACCTTTGTTTTTAATTAACACCTGAATAACAACATCCTGAAAACTTAGCAATTGGCTATTGTTAGCTAGTACAAATTAGTTCTAGCACACCAATGGTTTTAGCTTTGCCCCAGAGTCAGAACCATGTCCTACTTTAGCAGTTCCAATGAGTCAGTTTTGTATCTATAACAACTCTATCTCAAATACACAGAACCTAGATTCAGTTTAGATTATAAGTAGTAAATGAAAGTACTATGTGTCTGGCATTGGCTAGGCCATAAGGATGCAAAGAGGCTTAAAATTCCTTCCATAATCTTCCCTATGGTCATGAACAGCATCTCCATTTTCAGTTTCAGGCCAAAAATCTTGGTGGCATCTTTGACTTCATTCTTTCTCACATATCTCATTTCAAGTCCGTTAGTAATTACTGATGACTCTACCTTCAAAATATATCCACATGCAAACACTTCTCATCCCTCCACCACACCAGCCTCTCAGAGCTACCATTCTTTCTTATCTGGATTTTTTGAAAATGTCCTAAATGGTCTGGCATCCATTTTTGTCTCCTTATGGTATAGTCCGACGATAATGGTCAGGCTGATCCTTTTATGCTATAAGTCATATGATTTTCCTTTCCTCAATACCCTCTGATATTAATAGTTTCTCATCTCATGGAAATGATCTTTAAGATCTAACGTAATTAATTTCTCTTTCCTTACCTTTCTGACATCACCTACTACTTTTCACCCTATTTCATTCTTCTTCAACTATGCCGGCTTTATTTTTTCATGCTGAGTAAAATCCTGCTTCAAGATTTTTGCATTTACTGTGCTCTGCCTCCTCTTCCATGGATATCAGCAGGACTCTCTCCATCCCTCTTGTCTTGTCCAAGTCTTTACTTATAAATTTTCTTCTCAGTGAAGCCTTCTCTATCATCTTTTTAAAAATTGCTTCCTGACCCCAGAAACCCCCACTTAAATTTTCTTCACAGACTTATTTCTGTTGATGTATTATATATTTTACTAATTTATCTGTGTATTGCCTTCCCATTCCTCCACTAAACTATAATCTGCACAAGGTCAGTGAACTCTGTTTTGTTCACTGCTAATTCCCCAGTGTCTGGCACAGATAAGTGCTTAATATTTACTGGATTAATAAAGAACTGTTCTCAATGAGTTGATAGGTTTTCTATGTGTATCTTTTGTAACCAAAGTAACTGGATTTCCTGTCTTGGACTTCAGTTTCCTAGTGACTAATTCTCAGTTCTTGTTGCCAGGAATCTACAGTTCTGACTTGCTTGAAAGAATCTCTGTCAGTTACCAAACCAATCCTATATTTTGAATCTTCCTTGGCAGAAATTTTTGGTACTTTAGTCCTTTTACCTCATAAATTGATCTTTGAATTAATACCATTTCATGTCATTGTTGGAGAATTTTTTCCTTCTCTCTCTATGCTTTGGATCTGATAATATTCTAATAAGACAAAGAGATTATGTAACAAGACTTTGGAATGGCCCAGGGAGCTGAGCCCTGCATTCTCCCTAGCCGTTGGCTCTGGGGGCAGACAGTGTGGTTTCCTCAGCTGGATGACTCCATCCACTGACATTCAGACACCATCCAGAGGAAAAAACCTGCCCCAGCTGTTTTGCTGAATTCTACCGCTGGCATCGTAAGCAAGGGTGCTGCTGGGAAGAGGGAGGAGCTGAGCATCCGTTTTAGGAAACTTTACTAGGAAGCAAAGTAAGTGGGCTCTCTTTCCGTCAAAGATGCAGCAGAGAGCAGTTGTGTTCAGATGGGTGGCAGCCCTTCACCCCTACCCAGAGTGGAATGGGGAAAGTCCCCAACCTTAGCTGCTGAAGATCTCTGTTGTGTCCTGCTGCCCTGGTGATGGCTGGATTTGGTAAGACTTTGCCTGGGGTGCCACAGGCTTGGGCTCCAGATGCAGCAGACCTTGCTGCACTTTGTTGGCTCCTGTATCAGCAGTTCCATTTTATACCATGGCTGTAACTGTACCATCTCTTTCTCCCTCTATCTCTAGTTATTCCTCTACCCTGTTGGCTAGGTTTTGTTTTTTTTTGCCCCTGCACCAAAGGCCTTTTTGTTTGAATTTGTGATAGCAGTTGGCCAGACCCAGAACTGGTGAGAGATGTTCTGACCTGATGATAGTTTTTAAACCCTTTTCCTGGTAACAGAGATAGGTCATTGCAACAGTCTTTGAAGTTAAAGTTGGCATTGTAAGAATAATTCTTTTAGCAATTAGATATGGTAGCACTTACTATCTGTCAGCCTTCCTATTATCTACATGAAATAGTTGAATATCTTATGTTTGACACTCACAAAAAACTAAACATATTAATCACTTTCAACTATTGTTAGATTTTAAGATCTCTCACACCTACACACTTTTTCTCAGGCACTTTACAAAATTTCTGGAATAGGTAGGATCAACTGAGTGGTATCTTCATTTGTTAGCTGATATTTGCTACCTAGACAACATGTGATAGACAGCTCTGAATTAATAAGCTGTCTCTCAAATTAATAAAATGGGTGACAATGTGAAATAGAAGAATTTTTAACTGCTGGCAATCGCAAATTTTGTGGAATGATTTTGTTTTCTTAAAAAAATTCTCTGTAGACTATTTCATTTCTACAATGGTTCTGCAAGAATGACAGTATAAATAGTAATTTTCCCAAATAGAATTGATATAATTCAAAGTCAGGGAGCATTAAGAGCCTAAAAATGCCAGTAGAATTAATAAAAAGGACATCTCTTTTTATGTAACGACAGTATAGAAATGAAAAATCTTTTATAGCATCAATAGTATTTCTATTACTGCATTTCTATGAGAGAACTGGGGAGAAAGAAGGACAAATAATTTAAAAGAAACTGAGGTATCATATGCCAGTTTCTCGTCTGAGACCACAGTGCTACATCAATTGCAGAAATAGAACTCGGTAGCTTCTTAGTTGTTAGCTTATAGAATGGTTTTTCCAGATCATTCTGCATTGCTAATATAATTGAGATTTCAAATTATAATAGAAGACAGTCAGGGCAAAGTAATGGTAATGAGCCAATGCTAGAAAAGAAAATAGAGTCCAAGTCTTCTAACTCCCTGTCCATTAAACTGCAGGACTAAATCACCGAATATCATCAAAAAGTGGCAGCCTAATGTTATTAGAGAATGAACAGCATTAGTTCAGTTAATTTTTCATTATCACTGGGCATATGATTCATATTTTGGCTTATCTAAGGGAAAGAAATCTCAAATTGCAATTCTTTCTGGACATCATTTCTTGTCGTTTAAGTATTTACTTGTGTGATATAAGAAGGATCTTGGTTGACTGAAGTTCATTAGGAGTAAAAATTACAAGTCAAAATAAGCATCTCTTTGTTTAAATGAAAGTGTGAATCCACAAGCTGGATAGTTCATTTTTTCCCACTGGGTTTGTTAGTCCATTATATTCGTCAAAGGGTAATGTGGTTCCTGCTCAGAATAGGCCAGGGAGGAGAGGAGAAAATAGGACATCTGTTGCTTAACCTTGTAAATTCAGTTGAATTTGACCAGTCATAAATCAGAACTCAAGAAAATTACCACCAAATTGAAAAGAGTGTAAGTCATGAACATAGTGAGTTAAGTTCTTATTATATAGGTTGACACTTATTACCCTTCTCATGAATTTTCAAAGACATGAACATTTTGCCCCTTGGAAGGTATATAAAGCGCACATCGAACTCCTTAACAGTGAAACTCTCCACTTAGAACTCCAGAAAGATAGGGGCCAAATGAACAAAGACCTTATTTCCTCATAAATCTTTTCTTAGTTTTTCACATGTTTATAGATGAAGAAACATCTTTAACATAACATTTCTGGTTTTAATTGACATTTTTATGGTGCCACCTGCTTTATGTATGTTATTCTTTTTTTTTTAAAGTTTACAACAACCTAGATAGGAAAGTATTATTTCGTAGATGAGAAGCAGAGGTTAAGCGTTATAACCAAGGAGATACAGATTGCAAAATAGTTAAACCTGAGTTTACAATGTAGGGCTCCAAAAGCACTTCCAGTACCCTTTCTTTGATGTTATAGAAGGCAATGGCAATACTTCAATATATTCCTTTGTGGCACTTTCTATATTTTTTTATATGCTTTATGAATGTGTGTGTCATCCTCATGCAGAGGCCATGTTAATCTTCTCTGTGTCCTTCCAGTTTTAGTATATGTGCTGCTGAAGCAAACACTGAACACTTTCAGGTAAGATTTTAGTTACTTGATGACTTTTTAAGAAATGAATGCAAGACTATCTGTTTTGCACTTCTATTTTTCTTGTATTTTTTCAGTAAACTATATGCAGTAGACATCAGATTGTAATCTTATTGTTGCAATAAAGAAATGCATATCCTCAGATGTGTCTGGACACTATATCCCTGTTTATTTTGTGTTCACCAAGGGTGATATGTTGAAATTGATGGTTGCAGGCAGAGTCCTAAAGTGAGAACCATGAGTTGTCTTGCTAAAAATAAAGGATTTCCTATACTTCCTAAAACACGGTAGAGGACACTAGTAAATAAGTTGAACCAAAAACTTGCAATTAGACATTAGAGAGTCTATAAATTTAAGAGAAGAAAAATTGTTAGTTTCAATTCACTTGCTCCCTGAAAGGTTATAATACTTGTTTATTTGCTGACTAACACCAATTCACAAGTTGTTATACAAAACATAGATACTAACTCAACCTTTACCCAGTTATTACTGTCCTAGTAATTTGGTAATGACATTATCAGAATAATTAATGTTTAATTTAAATGGGACTACACAGGGAAAACTTTTTTTTTTTCATGTTTTTTTTATTTATTTATTTGTTTGTTTGTTTGTTTTGTTTATACATGCACTGGGTACAGTCAGAAGCGCGGGAGGGTGAGAGAATTCACCAGAGCCAGAGCGGGGAGCAGATCAGGCAGAAGGACCGAAGTACACTGCTGAGGGGAGCAGTGGGCAGCAGGAGGGGTCTGCGAGTCATGTGGGACCCTCCTCCAGTGGCCAGGGAGCAGCCGGGGATGGAACCGGCGCTGCAGAGGCCACGGGCAGCTTCGCAACCCAGCGCTCAACCACTGCGCCACCGGGGAGGCCCTACACAGGGAAAACTTTAGGTAAAATCTCTGCCTTCTCTAATCAATCATTCAATAAATATTTGAGTGTCTCCATTATGCACTGTAGGGTAAAGAAAATGTCAGGCTTTTCTGCCCTTCCGCCATCAGGATAGATGATGGATCCTTGTCCTGAATGCATGCCTGATGGCGGGCACCTGGAATAGGGTGTGGGCATAGGTAGATGGGATTCAGCTGAGCTAAGACTGTGCTTTTAAGGGCGGCGTCACGGGGGGGACGCCAGCAGCACCAGCACCAGCAGCTGCCGCAGCAGAAGCTGAAAGAGAAGCCGAGAAAGAAGTAGCAGAAGCCAAGAGAGAAGCAGAGAACGCCGGAGAGCCCAGATAGAGTGAAGACTTGCTGGGGGCTGGGAGGCCTGCCAGCCTCCCAGCCCCCCAGCCAGCACCCCTGCCTGCCATATGCCTGGTGAACCCCAATAAAAGACCTGCAAAACCACTGAGGACTCTGACTCCTCCTTTACCCGGTCTGCATGGGATCAGAAAACCTGCACTGTGCCCATGTCCGGCCCCCTACAATTGGCGTAAGTCGGCAAGATCCATGCAGACAGGTATTGGAGCCCTCCGAAGACCTGGAGGGACTAAGGAGTAAAAGACTGCCTGTGACGACGCTGGAGGCACCATGGCGGTATAGAAGATGGATACGTCCACGAGCTGTGGGACGAGACCTCGCAGGGAGGAGACGCCCGAGAGGACCAGGCAATGACACCGGAAAGGACCAGCCAATGACACCGGAAAGGACCAGCCAATGACCCCTGAGGCAGCAGGCCGCTGCTGACGCAGGGAGAGGCCAATGGACATGGACTGATAAACTTGGACTGACAATGCCGCCAGAAGGCGGAGGACCTTGCAGGTTGATATGTTTTGGGACCCTGGGGGTGGAACAGTTTTGTTTGTAAACCCCAAGAGATGGGAATCTGGGGGTGGCCAGTGGGCCTTGATGGCCAAAAGCAGCCTGTGCATGCCCAGCAGCCAGGTGGAGGAGAAAAGCCAACTAAGAAGGCAAAAGCTGGTACTGATGATAAGTTGAGAAGCCCTGAGCGGCTGTTAAGCAGCCTGGGTATGCTGAAGAACTGTGAGTCTCGTAAAATCACCTGTGGGTGATGCCCTGCTCATTCTTGAGCGAGGGTGAGGAGCTGAGGAACCTGTCCTTGGGGGACGGGTGGGGAATGTGGCTTGGGGTGGAGCCCAAGCCGAATGCAGAGTTTGGATCCCCGACCCATGTGCTTGTGCAGTGGGTTGGCCTGAGTGCAGGGGTCTGCGAGTCGCATGGGTGGCTGTGAAGGCCGAGTGTTGGAGCGACTGCAGACAGTAACCCTGAGGGTTGGCGATTACCCCCAACAGAATAAAATTGCCAATCCCAGAGCTAGTGCATCCTGGGGGTGGATGCTGTGTGTGCCTTGTAGCCTAGACTACAGCCAGAGAAGGCCAGGGAGCCTGACGGCTCCTGGTATGTTATAGCAGATGCCGTGTGTGATTTCCCCTCCCTCGTATGAGCAGTGCCTTCGGCAGCAGATTTGGTGGCTCATCTGCTGGTACCAATAATTGTCTTTTGCGCTAGGTTGGGGCCCTGCCTGGACTTATTTGTGTTCTGTTGTATTTGTGTTCCATTGTATTTTGTTATATTGTGATGTATTTCATTTACTTTTGTGGGCCATGGCTGCAGTGTTCATATTGCCAAGAGACATGTGTTTATAATTTGTACATAGAGACTGATAAAGACTGTATGGCAGAAAACCCTGAGGGGGTGGACTGTAGGGTAAAGAAAATGTCAGGCTTTTCTGCCCTTCCGCCATCAGGATAGATGATGGATCCTTGTCCTGAATGCATGCCTGATGGCGGGCACCTGGAATAGGGTGTGGGCATAGGTAGATGGGATTCAGCTGAGCTAAGACTGTGCTTTTAAGGGCGGCGTCACGGGGGGGACGCCAGCAGCACCAGCACCAGCAGCTGCCGCAGCAGAAGCTGAAAGAGAAGCCGAGAAAGAAGTAGCAGAAGCCAAGAGAGAAGCAGAGAACGCCGGAGAGCCCAGATAGAGTGAAGACTTGCTGGGGGCTGGGAGGCCTGCCAGCCTCCCAGCCCCCCAGCCAGCACCCCTGCCTGCCATATGCCTGGTGAACCCCAATAAAAGACCTGCAAAACCACTGAGGACTCTGACTCCTCCTTTACCCGGTCTGCATGGGATCAGAAAACCTGCACTGTGCCCATGTCCGGCCCCCTACATGCACCAAAGTACTGTAGTACCTTCTCCATAGTAAAAGTTCAAAATCATTCATTAATGATTCAATAATGACTAAGGAGTTAAGAAAAAAAGGCAGGCATGGCATTTACCCAAAAGTACTTGATGACTGGCTAGTATACTGAAATTTACCAAAGAAATTAATATATCAAAGAAATTAATTAAAAAAATCACAAAATTTCCTTTCTGATTCTGTGTCCATCATGACCCTACCTGCCATGGGCTCAGAATGATTTCTTTTGAGCTAATAGCCTAGAGTTCTGCAGGGTTTACTCTGAGATCTTCATTGTGTCCTAAAGTATTCCAGACCATGGAGGTAGTACAGACTACTAAATAATTGTGTGGACTCTGCTGTCAGATATCTTGTACTCATTATGACCCTACTGTTTATCAGCTAGGAGATCTTTAGTAAGTTACAGCTCATTGTTACATTTTTCTCATCTGAAAAATAGTGGCTAATGAAGTAATTCTTTTTTTTTTTAGATTTATTTATTTATTTATACAAGCATTGAGTACAGTCAGAAGCGTGGGAGGGTGAGAGAACTCACCAGAGCCAGAACAGAACAGGAAGACCAACGAAATACACTGCTGAGGGGAGCAGTGGGCTTGGCAGGATAGGTCTGTCGCCCCATGTGGGACCCTCGCCAGTGGCCGGGGATCGAACTGGTGCTGCAAGAGGCTGCAGGCAGCTTTGCAGCCCAGCGCTCAACCGCTGCGCCACCAGAGGAGGCCCTAGTGAAGTAATTCTTATATAGTACTCAGTAAAATACCTTGCTAATAGCTAGTGCTCAGTATTATCACTAATGTTATTTCTTTCAGATTTTAGGAAAACACTTTTAAATCTAGTGTTAATTAACCTCCTTATGACCTTGTGAAAGGGTCTGTTTCCATATGGTGCCTGCCAGATGGTCCACTTACAAATGCCTGTGTGCTTACCTGTGATAAATTAGAACATTGAAGGTCAATGCAACATAGTAGAGAATAGGATTGACATTACTGAACATTTACAACTACACAAACTCTAGGAAGCAATTGTCTATGAAGGGGTGTGGTATTGTGAGACCAAGATAAGCATGAGTCAGAAAAACCTCAATTTGACTCAGCTGTGCACACAGTCCTTAGCCTGTTTGAATGATTTCTTATGGAAATTACTTAAACTCTTGGGGCCATTATTTTTCATTTCTTTTTAAAAAGATTTATTTATTTATACAAGAACCGGGGTACAGGCCAGATGTACAGGAGGGTGAGAGGATTCACCAAAGACAGAGTGGGGAACAGAAGAGGCAGACTGACTGAAATACACTGCTGAGGGGAGCAGCAGGCGAGACAGGAGAGGTCTGCGCACTATGTGGGTATCTCCACGGGCAGTGGGGAGCAACCCGGCACTGCAGAAGCTGCGGACAGTTTCACAGTGCTGCTGTCAACCGCCTGCGCCACCAGGGAGCCCCCATTATTTTTCTCATCTGTAAAGTTAGAAAAATAAGATCTATCTCACGGAAGGCCTGAATGTGTGTGTGTGTGTGTGTGTGTGTGTGTGTAAGGCAGTGACTGCAGAGGGAAGAGGATCAGTAAATTAATTGAGAGCCGTGCCCAGGCACTGAAATGTTAGTTGCTGTTTTTTTTTTTTTTTCCTGTGATTATCTAGGTAAAAGAGTAGCAACAGGGATGATGGACAGGGAGTTCCTTAGCAACATTATGCTGTATGTGATTTACACAAATCTGTCACAAGTGGTTTTTGAGTATATAAGGTAGTGGTTAGTGGTAGAGATCTATTGTGTCCTCTGTTCTCACAGATGTGAAGAATGGTCCTCTTTTTCTAAATCAAATGTGCTATTCTC